GTTTTGGAAAATCCTTAACATACTTCCAAAAAAATGTTTTATTAATATGTTTGGGAAGAAAAACGGAAATTTGTGATAATATAACGTCTTAAGACCTTTACAATGGCAGAAAACGAAACACAGTTAGGATATGTATCGTTAAATAGAACAATTACGATTTGTAACGATAGGCCACTGCTTCAATCTGAGGGACAGATTTGTTATATCGTACAGAATAACTTGGTCTGGACTAAAGCAAATGGTCAAAATGTACACATCCACGAAACAAATACAAAAATACCAGCAGGTCTAAATAAAGTATACTTAAAAACAAACCATTTTTCTCACTTATCCATCAATACTTAGTAACACGACAACGACAATGGGCACTCATCGTATGCGAGAAAACTAAACTGAACGTTCGTATTAATTAAGTTACAATCGTGATTCTGGCTCAACCAAAATTCAAGTGTACTTAAGTGAACGCTCAGAAAACGCAGTACACGGTAACACAGGCTATAGCATTAGTAGCCTATCAGCAAGGTTGACCGGAAACAAATGTTTATGACAAGCCTGCCACATACTCATTCTTAAAAGACCTATTTCACGACAGAATAGGTCCTAAAGTTCCTCCTGTCATAAAAATAGCTACTTATCTGTCACAAGAGGCCAGAGGGCTATTAGTTGAATAGGTCTAGTTCAAATGACGATGAACACGTGTGGGTCAGCCAACCGTATCTCTTACAATACTTATTAAAAGTTTATCTAGCTTTGCGTTTACTAAGGGAATACAAAACGAATGGAAAAGTTGCTTTTTATCTACATTTTTTAAACTAAATCTCAGTAATGAAGAAGTAAAAGCTCGTCATTTTCGCTTAATTAATTCTGAGACGAAAGTTGTCGAATGGCCTAATCAGTGGAAGCATTCTTTCTTCCGCTGTTATGAATTAGGCCCTGTGGTCGGTTCCGAATATGAGCACTCTCTTGCATTTCGACGGGCATCCCTCCCCAAGTCAACACTAGGCAATGCAGAAACACGGGGACAACGTCCATGGTTCCGGCTCCTGACCCAAGTTTCCGGACGACCTCACGTTTTACGTGTCGTAGACCGTGTAGCCTATTTCTGTGACGTGTCGGTAAATAGGCCTACACTGAACGCAGTTGCGATATTAATGCAGGTCCATTTGCTACCTTATGCTTCGGGATCACATTTCTGTTTACCCCAGGAGTCCTTCCAGGGATAGTACCTTAAATTAGGCCACGACCGCTTCCTTCCACATCATTTTCAATTCATTATCATCCTCTCATTCAACGCCACATAGTCTGAGCTACTGAAAAGGTGTCGTTAAACAAACCACAAACCCAGGGTTTGGCCAGTAAGTCTCTTAACCACGAACGCAAATGTGATTCTGTTCTTAATTATACACTATTATCTGGGTAACGAAAATCTGAATTACTACTCACATGTATGTGTATTGAAGAACAGTGAAAATGTAGTATGAAGCTGAAGAGATGTTTTCCAAGAACTTTCGAGATACAGTTGATGCTGATCACGCACGATTATTCCCACAACACTAATAACATCTGTAAGTCACCAATCCTATTGAACAACCACCCGTTCTCCCGCAACAGGACTGACTTTAGTTCCCACTGAATCATCACAAACACCGCGTTTCCTCGTCACCTATCAGTCTATTAAACACCATGATTAACTGATAATGCGATAATGTACTTCGTCACTGTTACCACCTCATGTTGTATTTATTTCGTCCAAAACACAAAATCGGTCCTTTTAACAACATAATTTGATATTATACTTGTGTCTCTTTCATTCTCCTTTTTAACACATATATTGATTACAAAGGTTTGGTGTACTGACCTGAACCTTTGCAAGCCAATTCTCAGAGCAAATCAATGTAATGGGCCCCAAGGAATAACATCCAGAGTCACGAGAAAAGAAAACAGTAAAAACCTATCTACTAAAAATCTTTTCAGAGGTGATTGTTTTCGTAAGACAACTACAATGATTTCGATGTAATTACTCTCGTTAATTAATTTAAAACACTCACACACTTTCAAACTAGTTCAATCGCCCTATTTATTATCAATACGGGAAATATGTCTTACTGTTGTTAAATTAAACCGGATGTCGTACGAGTTTTTGCAGCATATACCACTGTACCTAACTATCATCGACATCCAAGAATTACGTACATTTACAGGGTCGCCAAAATACCTACAAAATATCCACACAGCTCATTACACAACCTAAATTGGAATTTCAGAGCGTCTGGCTTCATTCAGTTAGGGGTTTTCACACTGCGACGTTATCCGCATGCATCAGTGTAGTTCTACTTTCGAATTCTTTGTACCAAGGGCACTCTTGCACAAACACTCACAGACACACACACACACACACACACACATCAAGTGAAGTATAAGTTCCTAGCTGGCGGCGACACGTGGATGATCCAACACGTGTTGCAAACCGCAACACACACGAAAACGTCACAATGCAACAAGAAAGTGCAATACACAATGAATGACAACTTCTGCAAGATGGCACACACACATGAAAATTCTGGTGTTTATAATGACGTCATTCTAACAGTCTTGTGCGAAGTCAATGCGATGGGAACCTATGACTTCGCGGCATTCGGTCTTATATAACAGGATACCATGACGAAACTTCGTTAGGTCGTTGTGTTTAGAGTTTAACGTACGTTTGTGAGACGAAAACGTATGGCCTGACTTAGCAGGTTATACACGTTGAAGCGTTGAAGATATTCAACGCCCACAAGAAACAGAAAATAAGAGCCGATGATTTCTGTTAACGCCGAACAGCGATCATAGTGGTACATGCAGGTAGAGCCAAGAGTGGCGAATATCAGCAACTGCACAATTACTGGGTGGACTCGACAAGTCCATCTGTTGGTTCGGTGACTCTGCTGCTGGCACAAAACACATCTACCCACCGTACTTCGACTCACTACACTAAATTAGAAGACCAAGCAAAGCCGCGTGCAGGAGCGGGACAAAGATGGGGAGAGAAGGATCGTCAGAATTAATTACGGAAAATAAGCGCGCGCGAGAGAGAATGAGCGTGAGAGAGAGAGAGAGAGACACGGACTAGGCCAGCCACGTGATGAGTAGTTGGAGGAGAGAGGTAGGGGGAGAGACAGCGGAGGGTGGGGGAGCAGCAACGGACAGCATATACGTATACATACATACACGACGGAGCGAGATGGGCAACGTGCTGAATCTCGCTTGACCCCCACCCCTCCCTCTCTCCCTCTCTCTCCCTCTGCTCCAGTCTCACGCGCTTTCCATCCTTGTCATTCGACTTCGCCACCAGACTCATTACATCATGCCCAGTCTTCTGTGGGTACTGATGAAGTAGGGAGAAATACACGATGGAGGGGGGGCAGAGGGATGAGAAGCAAGGGGGTGAAAAGTGTCCAAGTCCAGATTTCATCCATACAGGAGCAGCATCGGCTAAAGAATTTCAGACTGACCAATCACAGCACGAGACTTAGAACTGCTAAATATGCACACAGATCTACGTGTAGGAGTCATGCACATTAATATCTTTTTTTAATTGTCTCGATACAGTTCCCACAGAATGACACTGCCCTTTCTTTCGTGTCGTTCTTTCTGTTTTTCCTATATGACGCTACATGACCACTTTTTTTCCAGTCCCTTTTATCCTTCCCTTTAATTATCAGAATCAGGAGAACGGGTTGTGTCGAGGGCTGTAACAGGATGACAGGCCTGTACAAAAACGAACGATGCGGAAGATTTTTACCACCAGGGACCCCATCTTTTGTCTCACCAGCACTGTTCTAACACACTACAGCAACCTCCTTTCCACTTGGTTTTTTCAAAAAGATGTAACAACAGTAAGAATATGCATTGTTATGCAAATGTAAAACTAGTTAAACATCGCTCTAGGGTAAAGGGTAAGGGGGTGGTATTACCACCTTTCTGATAGGGATGTTGATGTTGCAGGGGGTATATGAAGAGAACCAGAAGGGTTGAGAAAAGAAGAAAGGGGTGAGTGAAGTTTTAAAAATTTAAAGAAAGGGTTAAAACAGAAAAGTCAAACTACAGGCCACGAGCGAGAGAGGAGATGGTGCGGTGAGGGGGTGAGAGTGAAATGGAGAGGTGGGGGCGGAGTCACTTGGCTCACGACTATTGGTCCCATTTGCATATCACGCTTGCACGATGAGAGAGAGGACAGAGTAAAGACTACGTAGACAGAGAACGAGACAGTTCTGGTAGGCGGAGTCTCGTGTTCGGGACTGGCGTACCAATAATATTTAAGCCCCTCCCACATACAAAAACCCTACCGTGCATATCCATCTCCCTTCTACACCCATCTCATTTTCTGTGTCTTAAACTCATGGACAGTCCTTGTATCAGCTTCTGAGCTTATTCTTATCAAAATTTTGTCATTATTTTCACATCACGTTGCATGGTCCATGAACAAGGATGAGACCTCATCGCTGTAGCTTTTTCACAGCAGTTTTGAAAAGTAGGTCTACATTCGAAATTAGTGAAGTGCTACGCCAAGACTACAGGACCTTATCTGGTCCCAGAATGACCATCTGTAGTTCCACGCTGGAGTGTTATAGTGACGTCATCTACAAGCTTCTGAAGTATCATGATAAGCTTGCAGTTGCAATAGTGGGCTAATTATCGTCCCGCACAGTTCACGTGAGGTGCTGATTTGTTGCTGTTAAAAAAAATCGAATCAAAAGTCACGTCATCAGAATACCAAAGGGAATCATCAAAGAAGACACAAATTTTCTGAAAATGTGTCAAAACACACACCTTCAATAATCTATCAGTAGGATTTGAGGTTCTCACGGTGGTGAGTGCAGTATTCTGGTTTGTAGCACCGTGTGTAGTCTGGTAAAAGTTTGTCAATGTATCTGAGGTCCTTGCTGCCTCAATTATCAGGGCGAAGATAACACAGCACTTCTCCATTACAAAGATCATTTGGTAAACGCTGTTTAAGCAAATAATCCCTGTTTACAGTGAGAATCACATGAAACAAAATCATACAAAACAAGGGTTTACTTACTAGTATTGAAAGAGCTGGGACATATCAGCTACCACTAGTCTTTAAAGGGCTAATAGAAGACTGGTAGGGCCCCAAGACGACCTGGCAAAAAGAAAAATCTCTTGTACTGCCCGAATCTGCACCCCGGTTTTCCAGCCCACAGCCTCGTCACCATAATCACTAAATTACACCTACTCATATTAGAAAGTGCAGTTCGTGTTATTTCGTGTAGGTTAATATTTGACGTGTTCAAATAGCCGCTAATGATCAGCAAATTTAGTCAAGTAAAGAAAAGTAACAAATAGGCTAAAGTAGGCTGCTTACCACAAACTTTATCGATTCAGACAGTGATTGCAGTTGGTAGCGTTTTCATTTTTTTAATTAAAAATGGAAATAAACAGGCTGTAGTCTACAATAATTTTAATGTGACCAAAATAATTAACAACAAACAAAACGAAACTTGCACGAATTTCGTCCTCAAATAATGAAATCTTCATGGGCAAATGGGATGAAAATCTACGAGTCTACGAAATTAGATACTCTATAAAGTACTTTGAAGATATTCTAGTTGCAGGAGAAGAAAAAAAGGATTACAAGAAATATTCTTTATACCATACAGGTTGATGCTGAAAACAAGAAAATAAAATAAAAGAGAATATATACCATGAAATTAGCCTTTTTTCAATGCCTTTCCACCCACTTCTCTATCTACAGACGACCGGAGTCCCTTAGTTTACTACTACCCTTGATATATTTTGCCTCAAGATTGCTTTGTGATGGATCAGGTCCCGAAAAAACTAAAACGCCTATTCAAGACCAAACACAGAGGAGATCTTTTATGTGCCAAGCATAACGTCAAATTTTCGATAGAACGATCTAACAGCCAATAAACACACCTTATATATGGACGAAATAGGGCTTGCTTATTAGGCCTAATTCAGACATTATCTAAAGAAACTTTTTTCGGTTGAAAACTGAGTCCATTCTTTGCGATGTGTCACACATGATTGGTATTTTAACAACATACGTAAATACCCATAAAAGGATTACACTAGACCAACTGACCAAGCGAACCGCAACACTGTGGTACTTGAAACATTTTTGCAGTAATATCGTCAATTTGTAGATATTACAGAGAGGGATTGAAGCGTACGTAAACGGCACAGATTTTTTCCTATTTTTTTGCTACTCAGATACAAGACTGTTTAGGTGCAGGTGTGCATGTGTCTTACTGAGTACTTGTCTTTGTCGCTACAAGATAAATTCATCATTTTTTCGGTAGAAAATATTCATATGATAAACAGTAAGATTTAAAAAACAACACATCAAAAGGCAGCCCAAGACAAAGGGGGCATTTGGTGTTAACGTGGGAGACAAGGAATAGGCACAATCTTAGTTGCAAAACAATAAGAAAGGAGTCTGCTTGGAAGACCTGGATGTAGATGGTAAGGTAATGTCAAAATCGTTCTTAAAAAAATAGGATGTGAGGTGCTGACTGGACACATTTGTAGCAAGATGAGCCAAGTGTCAGGCTCTAGTGAACGCGGTCATAGATACAAACTTTCGGGTTCCATAAAAGGTGGAGAATTTCTTGACTAGCTTAGCGACTATTAGATTTTTTAAAGTATGGATTCTTTTCCAGGAGTTCGCTACTGGTAGCATGTCTAAATCATAGGACAAGTTTTGGAAAAGAACTGCAAAGACAGATATTAGAACCCTGTCAAACGGCAAACGTAATTAACAATAACATCAACCATCAACAGACAAAGATTATGGCGTTGCTGACAACGTAAAGTCCCATCGGCTCCACTATAAAAGGCTCACAAATTCGAATCGACATTTATATGTGGCCAGTACTATGTTTCTATACTTCTGCATGGGGGTTCTTATGTCTGATATTAGAATTCATTCCACGAACTCAAAAATTCAACTGTTTATAGTTTATTTAACAACGATTCATCAACATCACAAGTTATATTACTCCCATGCCTATGTGAAATCCTCGGTTAAATGACGAAAAGTACGTAAAGCCTCAGTCACGATAGTAGATCTGTGTGCCCAGAGTCTAAGCCGGGGGGCAGCACAATACGAATCATGAATGTTAAACACTCATTCGCGACGCTGCCCAACATTTGTTGTGGAAATGTTCTGCTTTAACTGAAGAACTAATCGGCTCATTTTCTAAGTGAGCGGGTCACAATCAATACTTTATTTTGCTTGTACACTTCATGAATCACGCTTATAAAAAGTTTAATGATCTTCGTATCTGTATTTTTTATGATCTGAATTTGATAAGCAAGTTCTGGAAGCCCATTAAGTCTGTTCTATAAACGAGTGTTAGCTACCGTTTGTTCTGCGCAATAGTCCACTGTCCTATTTACAACACGCCCAAACACTTGATTTCTTCTGTTAGTCTTTGTCTTTAATTTAGTCTAATTTGGTGCTTCCCTCGACATTTATTAAAACTTAATTTCCGCTGCTTGAAATATCATAAAACTTTCGTTCGCTTTAACCCACGTTTCTAATATTATTAATGTACAATAATTTATATTAAGTTCACGTTTTATGCACATAACTGACGTCGCATATGAATTCTTTATTAGACGGCTTCGTATCAGACGCACGCACAGACCTATTAAGACACCTCCAGCACGAGTACCTTACTTTTTCAAAATATGTAATTTCATTAAACAGAAAAGAACTGATAAATTACGCAGCAAAATAAATTAATATCATCCATAAACTTGACGGACAACGTAAGAAATCCAAGCTCGCTGATTCTGCCATAATTGGGCTCAATTCCGTCAACAACGATTTGGAACACTACCAAGCTGTCTTACAATCAGTTCTCGGCACAAAAACAGTTCATCTCATTTAATTCATCCTTCTCCCCCTTATATAGCACTATTATAATCTCTTGACCGTTAAAAGGAACGTCTTCGTCCCGCTCTTATCCTCTTTCTCACGTCATACTGACCTCCCTCCCTCCCTCCCTCCAGCTACTCTCTCTCTCTCTCTGCATTTCATTATAATTTACATCACAAAGCGCTGTCCAGCACAAGTAAGCAATTCAGAACAAGGAAGGGTCTCAGCGATTGTTACAGTGGATGAAGGGTCAGTCAGATGGGCATTCACACAACTTGTGGAAGAAGGTTGGATGGGATTCCAGAACAAAAGCTTAAGACCGAAAGAGAAAAGACGAAGCGTAAGGGAAGAAAAGCCAACCGTGAAGGAAAAGAAAAGATGTATGAAGTGGACTACGGTGGGCCACTGGAAACGGACATCTGAGGGAGC